ATATATAACATGTAATAATTTTTATTTGTAGGATACCCGCACCACCTACTGCAATTTAATTGTACTATGCAAAGGTTAAAATTCGTGCAAGTATAGATAGTAAGTTGACAAAGTTGTACCGCAATACCAATAAACGGTATGGCAGCGCATAAAATATGAACAAAGAAATATAAATTTTCATATATCATATTTGGTATAATTAATTTTCACGCGAAATAAGTCTAAATATTCTATATAAATAAAAAAGTAAATCTAAAACCTAAATACGCCACACTATTGAGCGCAAGTCTTCGTCTTCTTATTTCTGAGAGGATTATGGAGTTTAGTCTGCCGCTATGTTCCAGTGCAAATTGGCGGGCTTTAAATATTTTTATTCTTCAGATATGAGGTTCTTTTCAGAATGTTTTCTTTTCCTGCCAAGCACGTGGCAATACGACCATATTTTAATAACAATACATATATTAACCGTATAAATTTATTAACTAATACAGCATTGCGAATTGCCATACGTGCCTTTTTTGACACATTCTGACTTTTCACAATAGAGTGTAGAGCCCCATTTACTTTATTTCCGTTCAATATCCTTATCATATCTCCCATCCCTGCTGAATACACATCCTAAATATACGAACTCATTTACTTGCTCAATTAACGCTCCTTCTATTCTTATTTCACATACCGTTTTGCTTTCTTCTCTTACAAAAACCATCACTTTCGTCTTACTTGCATTCACTGTCATTCTCCTTTCTTTCAATGACCTGTTCATTAATGTAACCATCATTTGCAACTCGGCCGCCGACGACGCAAGTATGACTTGATCATCGGCGTACAAAGGGCATTTGATGGTTAACTCACCCATTCTTAACCCGCATTCTTCAACTTTCAAATTTTCCAAACAACTGTCCATAAATAGGTTGAACAGCCACGGGGAAGCTACACAGCCCTGTCTGACACCTTTATGGATGCCAAGCCAGTCCTAGTAGACCCCGTTGATTCTAACACAAGCACTCGAGTCCCTATACAGAGACTTTAATGCCTGTATTAAACCAGCGCTCAACCTAAATGCGTTCAGCGTTTGCCATAACATATCCCTGTCCACTCTGTCATAAGCCTTTTCCAAGTCCATGAACGCACATAAAACCTTTTGGTTTTTTGCCAAAAACTTCTTCGCGATCATGCGCATGAAAAAGACTTGATCTGTACACCTTATTCCCTTTCTAAATCCCGCTTGCACATCCCAAATTTTTTCATCAGTTTCTTTCATAACTCTTTCAATTAGTACCTTAGCATACAGTTTTCCCACAATGCTAAGAAGGCTGATACCACGGTAGTTTTTACAGTCCTGCTGTGACCCTTTTCCCTTATATATTGGGACTATCACGGCTTTGCACCAGTCTCCCGGTTCCCGCTTTAGTTCCCAACATAAATTAAATAAGGTGTACAGCAGGCCTTTCACCACGTCCTCTTCAGCCCTTAGCATTTCGAGTGAAACTCTATCATATCCGGCTGCCTTTCCTACTTTCATGCTTTTCATTGCTTTCATTATTTCATCTATACTTATCTCTCTATCTCTTTCATCTTCTTTCGGAATTTTTATTTCATTTAGTTCACACGTATATGCCACCAACGTCTCAATAAACCCCTAATTAGGCATAAGACCAGGTAGTGGTCCGTCCCTACGTTGGACCCCCTTTAGTCCCTACTTTAACATATGGTAGTTGGGTGTAGCAGAAGAAGCACGAGAGTAGAATAAATGCGGTAGAAATGCGGTCGCTAAGGAGTATGTTAGGGCTGAATCTGAGTGACAGGGTGAGAAACTGTGTGATAAAAGAAGAGTGTGGTTTGCAAGATGATGCAGTGACCAGGATTAAGAAAGGAATGCTTCGATGGTTTGGTCATGTAAAAAGAACGAATGCGGAAAAACTGACAAAGCAAATATATGTTGTAGAAGTGAATGAAAGAGTCGGAAAGGGACGTCCTACGCGGAAGTTTGTCGACCAAATTGGCGATACACTAAAAATGGGCCAAATTAAGAGTACGTATGATATATGGATGTGGAAGAGGCGAGGGAGGTATGTCAGGATCGTGCTAAATGGAAGTCTGTAGTCTCTGCCTACCCCTCTGGGTGACAGGCGTGAGTGTTTATGTGTGTGTGTAAATTTATTAACAAATTATTATGTGTCATACTTGGCAGCCAGGATCGAACCCAGTTTGCTTGCGTACTGTGAATTTTAAGACGAGTGCCGAGGCCCCAAGCTACCGCGTCCCATATTTTTTATATAATTCATAACATTTACTAAAGCATAAAATTTGCTAATCACATCAAAAAGTTTCCTGGGCCTTCCATCTAGAAATTCTCATTAATTTAAGAGGATTATTTTGAAGTTAATATAACTTAATTTGATTACAAAAAAAATATGTTAAAACCCAGTTGTAACATAATTTTTCTAAGATGAATATAAAACGATGCCACGCACCTGCTTCTGTTCTTATTGGCGAACTTCACATGTGCTTGTATTTTTCCACGAGATTTCTTGCACATAACATAATATATTGAATGAGCACATAAAATTAAAATTAATTTTTTTTATGTCGCTGGCGGGGATGAAGTTGAATTACTTAGTATGAAATTTAAGGTTAGCGCCCGATCTCTGAGATATCACGACCCGTGATGTATTTAACAAAGTAATTAAATTGTTTTGAATATTTATTAGGAAGAGGGGAATAATGTCAAATTCTCTTGAGTTAAAAATCGCAAGATCTATCCAACCCTGAGTACTAAAAAGATATTATGACTTCTGATAAACGGCGTAAACCATTTATTTTACTCTAGACGTTAAAATAAGCAACAAAGATTTCTGTTAAGGCAAACAAGATTTCCGTAACGAAAGTTAGACATTAAGACAACCACAGATCATTATTATATCGAATATACCCATTATAATCGAAGTGAAAAAGCTATATAAATAACTTAAGGCTCTTATACACACAGAGGTATTAAAATATTAAAACTAATTTCTAAACCATTGCCACGCGTTAGCGCATAAAGTTATCAGTTATGCCCATAGGGTGATGCAGAAGGGATAGATTTTCATATGAAAGCTCTTATGGCTACCAATATCAGCTATATCAATGACGGCTTTTTGGCGCAGTGGCTAAGGGACCATTCATTAATTATTATTATTTTATAGAAGAGGGGGCAAATGAGCAAGCGGCTCGCCTGATTGAAAGTGATTACCGCCGCCCATGAACAAGTGCAACACCAGATTGCAGATGGGTTGCAGGCCTTTTTATAAAGGAGTAAGCTCTTTTCTTAAAGGTTCCTAAATCGTATCGGTCCGGAAATATCACCGGTGGATGTCATAAAGATGATTTTGACGATTTTTTTATTTGATTGTTGATGCTATTATCAGTGGCCTCACCTCAGTGCCGCGAGGGCCACAGTTTCTAATGCCGTACAGAACAAGTGTTTTATGTACTTACAAATAATTGTTCCGAGTCCGGATGTTTGTTTTGTAATTTATGTTTTGCGATTGACCGCCTTCACAAAAAAGAAAAAATCCAAGTATGGGTAACGTTTTAATATATATGGTAATGAAAGCATCTCGATATTCACCAATAGTAAATACGCAAACCGGAGACGATGAGCAGGGTAATATGCGAACTGTCTGCTAATGAAATCGCCTGTCCGCTTAATAAACATAGCTTTTATACGATAAACCTTTCAGCGTAGAGAGTCCCGAGCAATGAACAGTGATGAAGCAATGAACAAATTATTTCCTTCTGGTATCTCTTGGTAGCGTGAAGAGTCAATGAAGATATTTTGTACTTACAAAAATCTTATTTCATTGGGAATATTTTCAGAATTATCAACGGTTTCTTGGGTGTTCTTTATTCTGAATCTGTGTGTTCAACATTTGGGCTTTTGGCTTTTTTATTCCTTGCCCGAACTCACTTATTTAACGGCTTAAACATTTTTAATATCAGTAACAAATAACTGTTAAAAGAATATTTATTTCAATAGTCAGAAAGCTTTATCTATGATGATATTTACTTTAAAGAACTTGCTATATCCAAGCGAAAATTATTTCATGTAGTCGGAAAAGGGATGTTAATCTTTAGAGCTTTCTCGCATTATTACTTCCTGTCAGAAAAGCTCTTATTCCTAAACCACATTACATTGTGAAATTGTTTTCCTACTATAAATTGTAGTGCTAAATTTTTTATAAACTTACTTAACTTAACTTACTTACTAAACTTTTACAGAAGTTTTTACAGTCCTCTCTTGATATTAACCTGAGTCTTCCCAAAGAATTCTTAGAGACCGAAACCAGTGAAAATCTGAGGGTGCAAGGTCAGGACTATTTGGCGAATAGAAAAACAATTGCAAAAAGGCGGGAAAGTGATTTTTTTCTTGATGTCCTTATATCGGTATTAAAACCAGCTCGGTCGTATTTATTTATCTATGAGCCAGATACAAAACACTACAACCAAAGAGATTTTTCTTCAATTTTATACAAACAAAATACGAAGAAACATTTCTCCCGACCTATTATTTTGCCTGTATGTGTAATTAATATTGTAAGCACATAAATATTTAAAATAATGTATGTGCATTTAAAGTCTTTCTATCAATCTTTTAAATTAAATTAAAAAACAAGCTCCAAAACCCTCTCAAAAATAAATGTAGGAGGAATGTGTGCAGCGTAGGAAAGCTGTAACTTAACACAGACCACCTTTATAGATTGCCATAATTAAAACGGCCTCGCTTTTTATTTTTTTAATCAGATACATAGCATGTAAATCAATAACTAATAATATTATGTTTTAATACGACTTACAAAATTTTGGTTTTATTTATTTAAACTGCCACTTGCCGTTATAAAACTGAATGTACATTTTTGACGTAAATAGTTCTGACTGTGTTCAATTTTAAGTTTCTATACTATCAAGGTGTTTATATATAACATTATATGTAATAAAATATTATTTGTACTTACTTATAAACATGCCCGCAGTAAGAAAAAAGAGAATCATATTCATAATACTAAAACTATTAAAAGGAAAGCAATAAATTTTATTTGCTTTTAATGCACAAAACTAAATCGAGATGTTTAGAATACACTGTATGGCTGATTTTATGAAATTTACACACGATACTTTTAATCGAAAAAAGTTGTGCAGGGCGCGAACGCGTATGAGCGTAAAGAGATCCTGTTGCGGACTGAAAGCTGCTCTGCCAAACCTCTGGCTTTGCGATAACTTAAATTAATAATGGAGCATTGATTTCATTCACCGTATTTATCTTTGTTTTAATATTACAAAATATGATTTTAGTAGACGTGTCCTTTGCCAGACTAATACAAGGTCAGACAAATAAAAAGGAAGAAGTAATACACACATGAAAAAGCTGAAAAAAAAATGTTACATAATATTATCTAATTATGTGTACAGGCGGACTTAATGCATGAGGCAGCCAGCTTTATTGGTATAGCTTGGTCAAAGGTAAAAAGAAGCTAATTTAAATGAGAATATCAAAATATACATATATAATTTTATACATATATAATAGACGCGTTTAGTTTTTACCTACATTATACTGTTATTTATAAGCTGTATGTATAAAAAAGGAACAAATAAATTGCTGCTGAGCTGGTTCTCCCATTTATAACAGTTCTCGAGCGTTTTTCTTGAAAGCATGGCGATTGCTAATATTCCTAATTTCAGGAGTAAGTACGTCCCAAAGAAAGACAAATTGAATAAGGAAAAAGAAAAAACAAAGCTAGATCTGAGAGGGACATTTAAGTAAAAGGTTCTTTGATGAGCGTAGATTTTTATCATTGTTGTAGCAAAGGTACTAAAAGTAGGTTATTAAATATGATCAAAAGACATCAGGATATAAAGTATGGTAGTGAGTGCACGCAAACTTCATTCGTAGTTGACAAATGGGAAGCAATTTTAATTGATAACGATAAGGAAACACCCGGTCATACTTCCGAAGATTGAAATTTAATCAAATACTGTTTTTATTAAGAAGACGATCATATCTGTTCAGATTATATGCATTCTGGTTAAAGTATCACACACAAAGTATCACAAGCATATTCTTAGCAGTAGATAGATAGTGTTACGAGCTTAGGGTTCGTGACAATAAAAACTGCCGATTGAATTACCAAAATTTACACTTTAATTCACTTTACACTAATTGAAACTTGAAACACTAATAATTAACCACACTGATTCACTCGCCAAATTCAATACTACTCCGATCGCGGCATGCAGCGGTTTTAAATACACTTTTACCAGTGCCAGACGTCAATTTAGGCGCGCAACACTGCCCCTTCCTAAGACATGCTCGTCCTGAGCATTATCGGTCCCATAATCACGCGCCAGTCGATCCACATGGACGATCTTAGGAGTACCTCTTGCTCCTTTTCGAAACGGCTCCGCAACGTCAAGGGCTGTCCTCTCCCATGGTGCACCAGCATTGTACAATTTCGATGCTCCTCTACTACGAGTCTGAGGTCTCTTCACAGCCGCACATCTTGTACATGTGCGACACCAGTCCTCAACATCGTCACGATAATGGACCCAGTAAAACTGTTCTCGGATCTTCAGTAGAGTTCTTTTAACTCCCAGATGGCCTCCTGGACAATCATTATGGTACAGATGTAGAACATCCGGTACTTTAGCTTTAGGGACAACCGTTTGCAAACGACAGCGACAGCTGTCTCCTCGACCATTGTCCCATTTACGGCACAGGACTCCATCCTGAATCAGCAAGCTGTGCCACTGGGCCCAATAGCTTCTAGTAGTCGTACTCATCGCTGAGACGTCGCTCCACTTGGGCTTGGTAGCACGGGCCTTCATCCATTCCAGAATCGGCTTGATGTCGATATGTATATTGTAATCTGTCCTTCCACTCGTTGCTGAGGTGGTCTGTCCTGAGCGTCCTCACGGATACCACTTCCTTACCCTCTTGCCTAGTACTGTTCTCGCAATCATCAGGATAAGGTCTTCTTGACAATGCATCTGTGTTGCCTCGCCATTTCCCGCTGTAGTCTCCGACAGTAAAGTCGTATTCCTAATGCTGCTGGGCGGTGCTGCAAGCTGCACTACCCTCTCGAGATCGATCACCTTCCCTTTTTACAGATCACTTAGGGCAGCTGGACCGAAGATGGCCCCTTTCCCCACAGCCGTAGCACCTTGGACTGTAATTTTTATTGTGGTCGTGAACCGTAACTACTGCAAACTCCCTAACGTGAGGGGAACGATGATCCTGCCGCCACCAGGTGGCGCCGTTAGCTGCTCTACCCTCTTGAGATCGATCAACTTCCCTTTCTACAGTTCGCTTAGGGCAGCTGGATCGAAGATGGACCCTTTCCCAACAGCCATAGCACCTAGGGCTGTATCCAGTCTTGCGGTCGCGAACTGTAGCTGCTGCAACCTCCCTGATGCGGTGGGAACGATGATCCTGCCGCACGGTTTCCACCTCCAGTACATTGGCCAAGGCGTCCTTAAGCGTCTTGTGGTGCCCGAGCCTCACAGCAGCTCTGACTTCAAGGTCGCGGATGCTGTCGATGAATGTCTGCACAAGGTTCCCTTCAATGAGCGCAGCTACAGACCGGTATGCTTTTCGCACCAGCTTCTCCACCTCTAGAGCCCACTACTGCAGGTTTTCGTTGAGGCGCTGCACGCAATCTTTAAGCTGCGCACGAAAGACGTGTTCCAGGTGAGCGTTACCATATCTCGCCTCCAATACCTCAAGGAGTTGCTCATTAGTCACTTCCTCACCGAGAGCTTCCAGAACTGTTAAGGCCTTTCAACCCGATTGTTTACTTGGTCGATTCGGGTTTCAGCTTCCGACAGGCGGTTGTCATGTTGAACAACCTTAACCTTAACCAAACCAAACCAAACCGAACCAAATCTTCTTTGATCCGTCTCCTGCTGGCGTTGACTTCGGGTACGGACACCCTCCGTTTCCTCCTTAGGTAAAATCAGCATAATTTTATCCCACTTCTGACACCAATTGTTACGAACTTGAGGTCCGTGACAATAAAAACTGCCGATTGAATTACCGAAATTTACACTTTAATTCACTTTACACTAATTAAAACTTAAAACACTAATAATTAACCACACTGATACACTTTATTTCCCTCCGAAGCTTCGCTTGTCTCGCCAAATTCAATACTACTCCGATCGCGGCATGCAGCGGGTTTAAATACACTTCTACGCCGAAACATCCAGAATATTCCCGTAGATATGGGCGCCGATCGACCCGACGCAGAAAGTTCGAGTGTGAGGCTTTTGGAAAGCTTAGTTCTTCAATTCGATACTAGATGACGCTGTTGATTAAAAGATTAGTCATGTCATTTTCTGGAAAGCTCTCCTCGCTCTGTTACCCAACACTAGATGGCGCTAGTGCCAGACGTTTCTGGCTAACTTTCCTAGGGCGTATAGTAGAATCCATGTACAACTCTAATTATAATTGTATTAAAATCGGTGGTGACAGAGCTTTTGCCTTCGATTTCTTTACTATTCGTTGGCTATCTACAATAATAGCTCGACACTTGGAAGGGGTTATAGTTAACCAAACCCATCTAGCCAGCTCTTAAAATATTCTAGATTCCCTATTATTAATATATTCCTGGTTTACCGTAACCACTGCAGCCAAAATAATATGTTGATCAATAATTTTTTGGAATAGGACACTTATTAAAGAGTTATAGAAATGCGTTCCATTTTTTTTTTGAATCTTTAATTTAATAGTAGCCAGGCCAGAAAAATCGAATTAAAACCTAAAACCCAATTATTTTTTCAAACTTCATATTTGTCAGCTATTTGATTAGTATGCAAAATTTTATACCCCCTACATAAAAGTTTTGTTTTATTTAACAAAGCAGTAAAACTTAAGGAAAGCAAATAAAACAGTGTGCTTAATTGTCTTTGTGTACCGCATAGCTCTGCAACTATAAAAGACAAAAACGATTTTAAGACAGAAATATAGAGAATTTACATATTTATATCATGATATCGAAACATGAATTTCGATCTGCGGATGTAAACAGCATACAATAGAAGGCAGCACGCCTACTAATCTACACGTGTTACTCTTTCGACCGATTTTGGTGGAATCTATACTGTACGTGTAGTATAAACGTTTAATTTATGGTTGGTGTTTAATAAACATTTCATAATCTTGCAAAGCATAAAGAGAATTGAGCTTGGCCAAATGGTGACAGATAGACCCAGTTGCCTTTAATGAGAATGGGCTTTTCACTTTAATTATTTTATAATCACAAGTAGGGAAATGCTTTATTAGATCAAACAATTAAAAAACATTTTTAAGTCTATAAAATACGTCTACAAAAATAAAACGTAGATTTAAATGTACTTTAGAACTTACTTCATTAGCGATCCGCCTTGACTTTGCACAAGTGATTTCTGAATCTCAACAACAGTGCCACTTATCGGGATCAAATGTGAAAAATCTAGAGACTCATTCAAACACACAAAAAATTCCATCAAAATCGGTTGTATGGTTTCAAACTCTATAACGGACATAGAAACATTTTTGTGTTGTATCTAGATAGTTTAAGAGGCCTATGTTCAGCAGTGGACTTATGAAGGGCTGTGATGATGATGATGATATAGATAGTTTATCATTTATTCATCACCAGCCTGCGGCAATCCACTGCTGGACATAAGCCTCTTCCAAGGTGCGCCACTTAGTCTGGTCTTCAGCTTACACACAGTCAGTTTCTACCAGATACCTTACACAGATGGTCACTTTATCTAGTCTGAGGGCCTCCTACACTACGTTTGCCTAGACGCGGTCTCTACTCCATAATACGTCTACACCACCGTTTTTCACTTGTCCGACAGATATCACCAGCCCATTACCACTTAAATTTACAAACACGGAAGTCAATGTCAGTAAATGGTATCATTTATCACAACCTACAAAAGTCCACTGTTGAACATAGGTCTCCCCTATAGATTGCTTCTTAGAGGAAGGCGAAAACAAGAAGACAACGAATTATGCTTGTACAGAATACCAGTGCCGCGTAGTGGCGGTTGAGAATATCCACTACCCCGTGGATATTATTTTTATTTTATTTTTATATTTATATTTTTATATGTATTTTTTTATATTTATATTTATTTTTACTTTTATTTTTATTATTATTATTTTTATTATCACTTTTATTTCTATTTTTATTATAATTTTTTTTAATTAATGGTTTCTTAAATTTACGCGAACACTAAACATTGAATAAAACTATTATTTACGGATTTTATCGCGTTTAATTACAACATTAATTTATTTATATTATCGCGATGTTTCGGGTGCTTTACAGCACCCATAGTTACGGGGAGGGGGGGGACTGAGATGTTTGACGTACTGGAAGATACTGGAGCTGAAAGAAGAGGTAGACAAGTTGCGCTGGCGTATTATAGGTTAACCGAAACCCGAAGAGAGGGGGAGGACACGGTATTCCCCGAATCCGGTAAATTGTAATCACTGGGAGGGCGACCATCTGTGCCAAGGAGGTATCGGATTTATCGTCCACAAGTCTCTCGTCAACAACGTTGTAAAGATCAAGATTGTATCAACGAGGGTCGCGTGCCTGATACTCAGAATCACCAAATAGTATTCGCTGAAGGTCATACAGGTTTACACACCAACCTCGGCACATTCCGATGAGGAGTTGGAGGAAATGTATGAGGATAACTCTAGAGCCATGCATTCCTTCAAAACCCACTATACGGTATTGATGGGAGACTTCAAGGCAAAACTAAGTACAAGAGAAAGCGGTGAGCTGAAGTTAGGGAAATTTGGAATAAGGCAACGGAACCCTAGAGGCCAGCAGCTGGCCGACTTTATGGAGAAAGAGGGACTCTTTATGATGAACTCTTTCTTCCAGAAGCGGCCGCACAGGAAGTAGACTTGGTCTAGCCCCGACAGTTTGACAAAAAATGAGATTGACTTCATTATGACGACCAGATGCCAACTGTTCAGTGATGTCTCAGTGATCGCAAGGGTGAAAACTGGCAGCGATCACCGAGCGGTTAGAGGCTCACTGAACATAAACGTTAAGTTGAAGAAATCTCGTCTAATGAAGTCAACAACGCTCTGTCACTCTCGTGAGCTAACCCAAGGTCCCGAAAACTTTCAGCTCGAATTACAAAACCGTTTTCAGTGCCTAGAAGACTGCAATAAAGTGGACGATATGAATAACAAGCTCGTGGAAACTGTCCATGCGGTCGGAGCTAAGTTCTGCAAGACCCGCCGCAGAAGAAAACAAAAACTCTCCGATCACACTCTTAATCTTATGGATGTTAGACGGGAGATGAAGCTGCAGTCGTCAGCAGATTTGACAGCATACAAGCAACTGAACATACAGATCTCAAATGTATGCGGCAGGATTTATGCAACTTCAATACAGCTTGTATTGAAGAAGCGATTAAGTGGAACCAGAGCTCCAAAGTTGTCAGAGATCTGTCTGCAGGAAAAGCCAGCTGTCAAAGCTGAAGACTGAGTATGGCAGCAACGTTTCCAGGACACCTGAGATTTTGAGTGAGATTGAGAGGTTCTATGGGCAGCTGTATACATCATCGTTGGAGCCGCACGCAAGTGTGAGTAATGATCCAAGGGCAAGTCTTATCTGACACTATTCCGATGATATCTTGGACGTCAGTCTGAGCGAGATTAGAATGGCTCTCCAGCACTTTAAAAATGGTAAGTGCCCGGGAGAGGATGGAATTACAGCGAAGCTTCTGAAAGCGGGTGAAAAACCGATACTTGAAGTCCTTCAAAATCTCTTTAATTCCGTCCTCCATGGAGGCACTACTCCCTAGGCGTGGAGCAAAAGTGCGGTGGTCTTATTCTTTAAGAAAGGTGACAACGCTCTCTTGAAGAACTACAGACCGGTATACCTTCTGAGCCGCGAATACGTGCTGTTTTCGAGAGTCATTACAAATCGGCTCGCACGCAGACTAGACGACTTCCAGCCTCCCGAACAAGCCGGTTTCCGAAAATGCTTTAGCATCATAGACCACATACATACCCTTCAGCAAATTGGACAGAAGTCCGAAGAGTACAATCTGCCACTTAGCCTGGTATATGTGGACAATGAGAAAGCCTTTGATTCCGTCGAAATTTGGGCGGTGCTACAGACTCTTCAACCGTGCCAAATTGACTGTCGGTATATCGAAGGACTGAAGTTTTTGTACAGTAGGGCTACGATGGCTAGTCCTTATGGCAGAATCGCTTGAGAACCTAAGCACCATGCTCAATGACCTCAATAGTGACTCTCAACGGATAGGCCTTAAGATGAACATGGACAAAACAAAGATCATGTTTAATGTCCATCTCACACCTATGCCGGTAGATGTTGGGAGCACTATGCTCGAAGATGTTGACGAGTTACCTGAGACAAATAGTCCGACTAGGTAAGTCCAACTTCGACCGAGTGGTCGATTGACGGATTCAACTCGGCTGGGCAGTTTTCGGGAAATTACGACACATCTTCTCGTCAATTATACGTCAAAATCTGAAAACTAAATTGTATAACCAGTGCGTGTTGCCAGTGATGACCTATGGAACTGAGACGTAGTTCTTCACTGCTGGCCGTATGAGGACACTCAAAGTCGGTCAGCGAGCTATGGAGAGGGCTATGCTCAGGGTTACTCTGCATGCTAAACTTCGAAATGAGGATATCCGCAGTAGAACTACAGTGACCGACATAGCTCAACGGATTAGTAAGGTGAAGTGACAATGAGCCACCGACAACCGTTGGGAAAAAAACGTTCTCGAGTGGCAGCTTCGTACTGATAGGCGAAGTGTAGGGCGACCCCCAGTAGATAGAGTGACGACGTGGTAAGACATTCAGGAAGTCGATTGATGTAGGTGACCCAGGACCGTGCTTTGTGACATACCTTGGGTGAAGCTTATGTTCAGCAGCGGACTTGTGAAGGGCTGTAATGATGACGATGATGATGAGAATACCAGTGCGTAAAATAAAGCATAGTAGCCTACTTACCATTATCCAACTAGTTCTATGTACTATTAGTTCTACGATAGAACAAAATGGACATTTTTTTTTCTAATTAGTTCTTCTGCTCATTGTGACATAATTAGTCATTCAACGACGTCCTTGCAGTGCTTTGTATCAGTCATTCCATATAAACCGTCAGATACATTTTCGCTATATTCATTCATAACTGTATGTAGATAGATGCCAATTTCTATGATCGAAAGCACCCACTTACTATCAGGTCAGTCTTGTGCTCTTTTGCCATCCTTACATGTATGCAAGATTCACACATCAGCATCACATGACCAATAATACGTGAGCGAGGAAGTACCACGCTCCAACAGAATACCAGCCTAAAATAGGAGCTTAATGCTTCTGTGTTTCGTATGGTAAGTATATAGAACCGGATATGTTGCTGCCTATCTTCTGACTCGTTTCCCTCTGTCGCCTCTTACGACACCCACGCGATGATATAGTGATCTTACACCGACAGTACACGATAATACATAACAGAATACTGTAAAAGAAAATGAAAAGAAAATGTACTTGGAAGTAATTATTGGGCATTGTCAAAGATTTCTTTTGAATAAAAGAAAGAACCTTTTACAAGGATTCTTAAGTGTTCTTTTCTAATTCAGTGAAGCACAGTTGCTTTTTAAGTTTTATTGTTAATCGGCTAGTCTCCATCGTAAAGGCATATTGTGCAAAAGTTTTATTAGTAAGCAACAGCTTTCAAGATAACAAATTGAGTAAAAAAAATTTAATATTATTTCTATCAAAAACACAAATATTATGAAAATGCTTCAAATCTATTCAAAGTTTTATTTACGCAAGTAATTTGTAATTTGCGTTCCAGCCATGAATTTGTAAATTTTAGAAGAAGATATATTATGTAGCTATCGGATGCTAACTTCAACGCAAAATGTTGTGAAGGATTCGCATTTTTTTCCTCTGTATGTACCAACAAAACTACCAAACATCCGAGCTGTAAATACTCAGAGAGATAGGTAGATAATTGATTCTAAATGTAGCAAATCCGTAGCAATATCAAATAAAAATCTTTAAGCTTACAGAAGAAATAAAGTCAAAAATATAAAACATAAAAAATATAAAAGAATAAAACTAGTGTGTTGCCAGCGATAAAATATTAAACTTCGGCGGGCCCTTCAGAGTTGACTGTATTTTTTTTAATTCATTACGGCCTATCGCAATTCTAATCACAGGCTTTCCTCCATAAATTGTCTCACAGAGGGTATATTTGCTACGCTTATTTTTTAACCTCGGTTTATCATTATTTTAAACTTTTTTCAGAAAGTTACTGCTGCCCATCTCATGTTTCAGTTTCCCTATGTCGCCTCTAAACACAACAACGGCATGATTATCTGTAGCCGCCACCACACGGCACCGGCCATTACTCTAGTGAAATTAAAAGTTGGATAAGAAGACAAACTAAACTTTGCACTGAAAAACCTATTTTCCTTACATTGGTCTACATCACGTTAGGTTATTGACCAAGAGAAATAATACTACGTTTTATTAGTTAAAATCAAATGAAAGATCTTTATTTTACGAGATTTAGAGCTATAATACGATTTTCTACATCAAAGTCGAAAAGAAATAGACTCATAGGTCAAACGCTTAGGTTATGTAACAAAACAAAAAAAATCTAAATTGTTGTAATACGTGCGTTGAAAACCCGAACATATTAGTCGTCACAAGCAGCTCTTGTTCACAAGTATGCCGCTTGTGGCAGCCATCGCCTTCCTCGACCATTTTGAAAAGAAGTTATACATGGTAGAGCCAGGCTGCAGCTATATTATGGTTGTAGCACGAATGGGTCGGCTCGACCGGAGAATTCCAGGGCAGAATAGCTGCACAAAAAAGTGAACGTGAACTCATCAAACCAAGCCACCGCAAGCTATTAGGGAGCACGACATAACCAAGTCTATAATATACTAGGATATTATTTTATACAAATAACAATAAATAATACATATGTTACGACATGCCATTTCCATAGTAATAATATCTATGAAATACACAACAGTGTCACTCAAAACCTGGTATTACAATTATTAGGATAGGATTAATATAATATCAAGCCTCCTTGCCGGAGGCAAAATGCATTGTTTCAAATAAAAATGGTATTATGACATTTTACGATAAAGTTAATATTTTCGGGGTTGTAAATTTTTAACTGTTTTAAAATTCCCGAATTTTGATACTTTTGACCCGTTAAAAATAATATTTTTTAAAAATTAAAAACTTTATTTATACATTTATTTAGCCTTTTCATTTCTATACCTAAAATTTTAAAACAGCTATTTGAGAACTTAATACTGAGTAGTCAGGAAAATTAAAATTATCATGTATTTCTTATGTCAACTTAATGATCTCATAATATGCCTGCCTAGCTTCTATTTCAAGGAACTTGTTACATATTAATCCTATGTTGTACTTAATTATCCGTATAAAACTTTAATTTGACAAACTATGTAAATCCTTAAAAATAAGTCACGGTAAGTACCTACAGTACTACAATAAATAGAAGACCAACTTACATATCAGTACAATTTAAAAGTAATCTATTCGTATTCTCTATAAGATAAAAGAAAAGAACTCCAAACTACTACAGTTTTAAGGGTTTCCTGACGGCTTCTCCTAGGCGGTCTCATGAGAAGACCATGAGATGTAACACCGTGCTCCGGAGCGTACTGCCTACACTAGCACGGGTATAGTCTGTCTGCTCTACTAGTGTACTTAGCACGAAACATTGTTTAATATCTTCCTCCTCTTCCTTGACCACCTCCATAGCTTCCACTTCCATAACCTCCACCGCCACCTCCCTGGTTCATACTATATGGTGAAGCGCGGTTATTGCTATATTGTTGACTTCTTGTAGGTCCCCCACTGTAGCTTTGTTGACCATAGTTACCAAAGTCTTGGTTACCCCAACCACCGCCACCTCCTCTCTGGCTTCCACCTCCATAACCACTTCCTTGGTTTCCACCCCAACCACCCTGGTTGTTATCCCAAGGATTAGCATTATTCCATCCACCTCCTTGGTTGCTTCCATAACCTCCTCCAGAATTACCCCAGTTATCATTTCCTCCTCTTTGGTCAGATCCATCCTTAGGAAGAGCCTTCTTAACATCCAACTGTTTTCCATTAATTTTATGGGGGGCATTCAAGCACACTTTATCCACTGGATCATAATCGTCAAATTCGACAAATCCGAAACCATGCTTCTTACCAGTGGCTTTGTCGGTGACAATGCTAACATTTTGCACGTTGCCATAATTTGAGAAATATTCTCGCAGTTGGTCTTCTGTGTGATCATCTTTAATACCTCCTATTAACAACTTCCTTTTATTATATTCTTTGATTAAAATACAAATAAAAAAGGGCCTATGAGTTTTTGCGATATAGTTAATATTTTCGGAGATATTTGTTATTCGTATTTCATCAAAGATTATAAAAATGGTCTTGTTTGAAAATAATAATTCCTTGTAATTAAAAAAAAATCTGCTTAAACAATATGGCACCGAGTTGCCCCATAGCCACGTGCATTTATATCATCAGTAGAATAATTTGAAGAGAATTGTTTAAAAATATTGAGGAGGACTAGTTACTCATGCGTCGACTTCACCTGGACATATGGCATGACATGTTAAATTAGAGTTGTATGAAACTAATTTTCAATATTTTATAACGTTTTTCAGCAATCCATCCAATTCAATCCAACCTCAAATCCAATTCATATGTGTATATTATAGTGAACTCTCTTTTCTAAAATACTTTATTGAATTATATTATTTAAAGATTTTATTTTATGTTGTAGAAAGATAATTAATTAATTATTCCGCTATGATAGCGATTCTGTAGTAATTGTAATGTAAATCTTTACTGGGCTTTTGTGCTTTTTAATTACGTTTTAAGTTCAAAATATAACAATAATATTAACTTTTTGATTATATAACATCTAAATATTGGAATAAAAATTAAAAAAAAAAAAAACAGAATTTTACAAAATAACTTGTTATAAGGTTAGCAAGCATCGTAGAATTTATAAAAACATTATTCTGAATAAATATTAAATGTATTCCAAGTGCAATTTAGATATTTATAGATAAGATATTAGTTAGAAAGTCACTTCACCGGCATTGCACTTAAATATTTAATGAGAGGAGCTTGAGTTTTTCCTGTAAATATTATTAAAATATTAAAAGAGACAAAGCATAACATGATAAGTTAACAATAATTAACAAGAAGTCATTTATGAAAGCATTTTCTCATTCAATTATAAGATATTAAATTCAAAAAATTTATTCTAATAAAACTGTAATAGATATTTTAGTTTTTTTAGTCAGATAAAAGCTTTCGATGAAGGCTATCTCTCCTGCAATTATGACTTGCCCAAGCGTGCCCTAGTAATTTAGCAACATTTGCCTTATACTTTTCTAGTTACTACGTAAGGCTTCTACTTTTATTTGAAATAATCTCAAATTGAATGTGCCTAATGGGCAACTACGTTTTTTTCCTACCGATCGATCCTTACGAATGTGTGCGTGCGCTGTAAAATAAGTTAAAATAATTTAAAACACATTTTGAATTTAAAAGATAAAAAAGACAGCATGCTTAAGATTTTGTTAATTAATTTTTCTTCACTATTTGCCTACGTTCTGAACCTGGCCGGTTATTGCAAAATAACCCTTTCTATATACTCTCAATATTTTACAAAATTAAGTTAATTCGAACTCGGGGGGAGAGTTAGGAGGAGGCGCACCTTGTGTCAAGTGCGCCAGGGTTAGATATTCTCTCCCCGAGGAAGAGGACACCTTGGGGCAGTCGGCGCTCGTGGAGCTGCAAACGCGTTTTCGTGGCCCAACCAATATGCGGCGAAGGTGGAACATCATGGGGTTTTTTGTTGGTACGAGTCTGGAATAACCCGTTCTTACCCCCACGAGGCGGGTATGCGTAGATATTTCTCCATGAAAATAGTTCGTTTAACCATTTTATTATACAGCAGCAGACGGCATTAAAGAGGGCGAAACGGTACAAAGTTAAGAAGGCTATGTTGTGCATAGAATTTCATCGGGCACATCTAGTTAAGCAACGTTACTGCTTTATTTCTAATAGTAGCTAATTTTGTAAGCAAGGAGCAAATTGAACGTCAGCTATCATACATTAATTATTTTAGTCGACTTTAAAGGAGGTTAGTAATTAAACTGTACTTTTTTATGTATTTTACACGATAGCGTCATCAATTCCTTACCGATTTTAAAGATTCTTTTTTTTATTAAATAACTTTTACTTCAGGGATGAATTTAAAATATATATTGGGAAAATCTTCAAAACACCGTAATCATAAGGTCGTGTAGTTGTTGCAAAAACGCTTTAATCCAGTAAAGAAGTTTCATCAGTAGTATGCATTTAGATATGAAGAGTAAATAAGCATTCTTTATTATAACCGACTTTTGAAATTTTACAACAGGTGAATATATTTACAAATCATTTTTTATGGAAAAGGAGGTAAACGAGCAAGCGGCTCACCTCATGATAAGTAATCACTGTCACCTATGAATATCCGCAATGCCAGAGGAATTGTAGATACGTTGCCAGCCTTTTAGGAAAGAGTAGGCTCTCTTCTTGAAGGTCCCTAAGTCGTATAGGTAAATTCCACACATTGGTCGTATGAGGCAGAAAATTTCATAAATATAAATTTAAAATAAATCTAAAAGAAATAAAGTAGAAGGTAATTGTTTTGCACTCGTTTTTTAACCATACATATTTACGAATTGATAAACTCGTACTAAAAAACAAATTGTAAAGTTGGTAGGGTAGGAATAGATTATTAACCGATGAATTGTGTTAAGTGTACTTCATCACAATACTCGAATGGCGGATTCAAATCCACGACTTTCTTTGTTTGCAATCCGAATCATACCATTAGGCTACTGTCGCTTAAGTATGCTGTATTTCGTATGGAGATTGTAGAAATCTGGAGACCCTTTTTAGCGGAAGCAAGTCATTCCATCTGCGTAGCATTAAGCTGAACTTTGCTATTTTACTCAGTCCTGTAGTCAGTTGAGCAGATCTCTACCATTTATATTTTCTTTATATGCTTACGTAGACCTATAGTTTTTTTAAATCCTAACAGCTGTGGTGAATCGACAATGCACGGGTACAATGTGTTGATTTGTCTAGTAAAAGATGTTCCTGTGACAAAAATGTGTTGAATATTGCTAACATTAGCAGTGCAATAATTATATTAATATGAAAATCAGTGGGAGAAAAAATATATAAAATATAACCATTTTTACGCAGACGAAACTAATAGAAGATTGCTAAATATACACAAATTACATGATTTATCAGTGCGTAAATGTTGGGTTCGTTAGTCCGTAGCGATAGTAACAGCTATTCATACATCATATCACACAGAAATGTATTATCGTATCTTCTATTAGTATGTCTAGGCATAATTGTAGCACTAATTACGAGATGAGCGGAAAAATCAAAAAATACTATATAATTAATTAGATTAAATGTTACACGACTGAACTTATACGAACATAAAATCAATATCATCATATTATTAAGCCATGTAGATTTTATTATTTTAAAATAATTCCACACTAATAAGAAACGCCTAAAATTAGCAAAAAAGGCTGCATCGTGTTTAAAAAACACAAGCAAGAGTGTTACAATTAATAAACTAATAATGATCGAAGTGGATTGAAAAATTCGTGTTTACACTATAAAATTTTTATTTTGATCTATTTTCATTATATTAGTCAAGTAGCTTTTTCCCATGGCTTCACCCGCGTGGAGGTTGGAAAACAACACCATTTCAATAAACCATAGCCTATGTTCACCTTTTACCTATTTTGTCCGAAACTTCCGTCCATTTTCTTCCAACGCCATATTGAATGTCATAGTTTTAATAAGTATCTATTTACTGTTGTGTGTTATTGCTTGGAAAACAACATGTCTGGGAAATTAAAGAAATATCGCTGCTCAGTAACTGTACTATGTTATTTTTAATTTTATCACTTAGAATATCAAGGCTAAAGTTAAATTACTCGAACGTGGATATATTCATATTATTATAAAATATTTATATCTAATGGAGTGCAATTAAAGTTAAAATAATCTTAAAATATTTAATTTGTAAAAATAACGCTTGAACGCTTAACGCTTGAATAATGCTTTATTTCACGAATACTTTTTAACAAATAAATTTAAAGTCCTTGACTCCTAATGTAGGTGAAACCTGTATCTCAGGAGCCAGTGTCTTCTCACAAAAATTACTGTACAGATTACTTATATGTTGACAAAAATAAAAACAAAACCTATTCATAAAACAAAAATTTGAATAAAGATATTAATTAATTTGCAACCTTCCGCTAACTAAATACAATGATGTGTCTTACCTGGATTGAAGAGCACCTCCCACCCTCCGTCAATTACGTGCACCAATCCTGTCACCACTAATCCCAGCACCACTACTCCCAACACCACTACTCCCGGCACCACTACTCCCGGCACCACTACTCCCAATACCAATATTCCAGGAAAGACACACCATCGACGATAATACGACACGTGTTTCGCCTCTAAACGAGGCATCCTCAGGTGATGTAGACTCTACGGCGGCTGACCCTACTGAATTCGCGGTCACTACATTGTATTTAGTTAGCGGAAGGTTGAAAATTAATTAATATCTTTATTATAATGGATTTCCGCAAAGTAACGCCTGATTCTATCGAAAATTAGAATATTAATGTATAGAAATGTGGTTGTGCACTGTGTACGCTCGCGCGTGCGTGTGTGTGTTTGTGTGTGTGTGTGTGTGTGTGTGTGTGTGTGTGTGTGTGTGTGTGTGTGTGTGTGTGTGTGTGTGTGTGCGTGCGTGCGTGTGTGTGCGTGCGTGCGTGTGTGTGTGTGTGTGTGTGTGTGTGTGTGTGTGTGTGTGTGTGTGTGTGTGTGTGTGTGTGTGTGTGTGTGTGTGTGTGTGTGTGTGTGTGTGTGTGTGTGTGTGTGTGCGCGTGCGCGTGCGCGTGAGCGTGTGCGTGTGCGTGTGCGTGTGCGTGTGCGTGCGTGTGCGTGTGCGTGTGCGTGTGCGTGTGCGTGTGCGTGTGCGTGTGCGTGTGCGTGTGCGTGTGCGTGTGCGTGTGCGTGTGCGTGTGCGTGTGCGTGTGCGTGTGCGTGTGCGTGTGCGTGTGCGTGTGCGTGTGCGTGTGCGTGTGCGTGTGCGTGTGCGTGTGCGTGTGCGTGTGCGTGTGCGTGTGCGTGTGCGTGTGCGTGTGCGTGTGCGTGTGCGTGTGCGTGTGCGTGTGCCGTGTGCGTGTGTGCGTGT